GCGGTACCGGACTGACCGGACCTAACATGCTGCGTCCAGCTGTGCCTACGACGCTGCTGTATGTGTCCCGATTACACCACTACACGAAGGTTGAGGAGATCGTGGAGTATGTGAAGATGAAGACCAATTGGACCTTAAGGGTCGAGAGGTTGGAACCGCGTCACAATACCAACTTCAAGTCGTTTGTGGTGCGAGTTCCTACTCAACATCTCGACAAATTCCTGGAGGCAGAGTTTTGGCCGAAGGGTGTCATATACCGACGTTTTCGAGGTCGCCTACGTGACACCGACCAGCGTAACACGACACCACGCACATCGTGAATGATTTAAATTAATAACTTGTATAATTATGTGTTTATAGTATTTTTATGTTTTATATTATAGTATTATTGTATTAATCCTCAAATAATCTCGCTAAAACTACATGGAGTATAATTAACCAAGCTAAACAAAAACGTCCCGCCGATACTATCTCTAAAATAAAGACTAATGACAATAAGACAATTACAAAGCCGCAAGAAATAGCAAATGCTTTCAATGATTTCTTTGTAGATAAGATTGTGCCTATTCCAGGTCGAGGTAAAAATGTCACGAGTCATATTGATAAAAAAAATAATTCTATGTTCTTTTCACCTTCTGTTCCATCCGATGTTATAGCAATTATAAACACACTAAAAAACACTAATAGTGTCGGACACGATGGAATATCCACTCACATCATTAAGTCAACTAGCCAGTATATAGCAAAACATCTATGTCACATAATAAATTTAAGTGTAACAACAGGTATCTATCCCGATCAACTTAAAATTTCTGTAGTAAAACCACTATTTAAGAAAGAAAATAAGGAAAGAATGGAATTTTATAGACCTATCACGCTAATACCAATATTCTCCAAAATTTTTGAGAAAGTAATTTATAAGCAACTTCATTGCTATTTGGAGAAACAAAATGTTTTAGCGGAAGAACAAAAGGGTTTTAGACCAAAGAAAAACATAAATAGAGCAATTTATGATTTTCTGGATGTAGTTGTGGCAAAAGTCGATCAAAGGGTTCCAGTAAGCGCTGTCTTCTGCGACATGACGCAGGCATTTGATTACGTAGATCACAGTATTCTGCTAAAAAAACTTTTCTATTATGGTATACGAGGTAATGTCCTAAATCTAATACAATCATATTTGACCAATAGAAGACAATATGTTGAAATTAAGCGAATAAATGTTAAAATAAAACGGTAGAGGCACACAAATCACATATACGCACAAATAAGTTTGGTGTGGGGCAGGGCACCGTGTTAGGCCCATTAAGTACTATTCATTTTATATATAAATGACTTACTTACCTAGGGCAACTACCCATCCAGTTACATTATTTGCTGACGATAGTACAGTTACCATAGAATGTAAAGACAATTTTTTTTACGAAAATGACATCAATACTACTCTAATAAGTATAGTAAACTGGCTTGATAACAATAATCTCAAAATTAATATAAGTAAAACTAAAATATTGCAATTTTCTCAAAGAATAATATAATAAAATCATACACGAAAATTCAACAAAATTTTTAGGACTAATTATCGATAGCAAAATGGACTGGAAATCTCATACAGAAACGTTATGCAAAAAAATTAGTAGTGCAGCATATGCCCTCCTTAAATTAGCGCCTAAGGTAAACCACACTGCCCTGCTTACCGCCTACCATGGTTCGGCTGCATCACATCTTTTTTTTTTTTTTTTTTTTTAAATCTTACATTTCTTATTCTCCACGGACTCTTGTCCGTGCCCTTGTCATTCCATTACATTTTATTTTAATTTACAGTCAAAATTAATTGTTACAAAAATCTTACGTGCTACATTAACCACATTTTTTTTTCCCAAAAAAGGTTGTGTCTAAATCTAATATCTATATATACACAATACATGTTTTATTACATTTACATTAACCTTACTGGATCGGCCCACACGCGCGATGAGCGAGCCGACCTGCTCCAGCAGAAGGCGCCCGTTCACGAGCATGACGTGAGGGCCAGCAATCGATCCGATCAACCATTTCGTAGGGAACGGAGCGACCCAGTCCACAGCGCCACCG